GTAGAAGTATAGCATTTCCTTAAAAAACTCCTGAGTTTTACTTAAACTGTTTCAGCTCAGAATACAGGGTAGATCATTTTTGTTACCTCTTGCCAAGTTGTCTTCCCTATATTTTTAGCCAAAACAGTTTAAGCAAGAGAAAAGATCATAAATTCATGTTAAGTATGGACGTGCAAAATTTCTAGTGAGTTGGTTAATTCGGGAGTGGCTGTAGGAATAAAAGTTCAAATTGCAGTGTGGCTTTGAATCCTTGACTGATTTCAGGGCAGACTGCTATTTCTCAAACTTATGGACTCTCCAGAATGGCTAAAATGCCATTCCAATAGCCTATACCATATTGATGTAGATATTAATGTCAAAACAAAGTGTTCTTTTTAACTGAAACCCACTACAGTGGTACCTCGGGTTACATGCGCTTCAGGTTACAGACTCTGCTAACCCAGAAATAGTACCTCAGGTTAAGAACTTTGCTTCAGGATGAGAACAGAAATCGTGCTCCAGAAGCATCGGGAGGCCCCATTAGCTAAAGTGGTGCTTCAGGTTAAGAACAGTTTCAGGTTAAGAACGGACCTCTGGACCGAAATAAGTACTTAACCCGAGGTACCACTGTATTTCTTACATTTATATCCTGCCTTTCTGCTGTCATGGAACCAAAGGCAGTGTATATGTGGTTCTTGGGCAATTACAAATCTAGGCACTGACCAGACCCAGTTCTCATGCCAGCATGCTGACAAATCCTCCCTTAAATCCAACAAAATACAGTGGTGCCCCGCAAGACGAACGCCTCGCAAGACGGAAAACCCGCTAGATGAAAGGGTTTTCCGTTTTGGAGGCGCTTCGCAAAACGAATTTCCCTATGGGCTTCCTTCGCAAGACGAAAGCCCATAGGGAAATCTCCGGGACAGCGGGGAAGCGCAGCGCGTCTTCCCCACTGTCCTCGGACCTCCTCCAAAGGCTGGCGGTGGGACGGAGAGACCTCCTCCCACCGCCAGGCTTCGGAAGGCTGCTCCGAAGCCTGGCGGCGGGAGGAGGATTTTCCTTCCCACCGCCAACATTCAGAATGCTGTTCTGAATGTTGGCGGTGGGGAGGAAAAACCCTCCTCCCACCGCAAGCCCCGGGAACAGAGGAGAAGCGCTGGGGGCCTTCCCCTCTGTTCCCGTACCTGTCCTGAAGGCTTGCGGTGGGGAGAAAAGCCCTTCTCCGCACCACCAGCCTGGCAAGCAGTTTCCATAGGAACGCATTAATTGATTTTCAATGCATTCCTATGGGAAACCTTGCTTCGCAAGACGAAAAACTCGCAAGAAGAAAAAACTTGCGGAACGAATTAATTTCGTCTTGCGAGGCACCACTGTATATGGCTCCTGTAGTTGGAGTTAATCTCTTGCCCTAAACAAGAGAGGATTATGAAGTGAAGAGGTTTTGGAAGTAGATACAATCTTAGGAGCAACTTAGTTTGCTGTTGAAGATGGAAAAGTCTAGAAACAATAACTTTTAGTATTAAAAAAACCTCTTTGTAAATAATGCTGATAACAGTATTAACCATATACTTTTATGTCAACTGAGCAAGGCAGGACAACTCATTACTTCATAAACTTGACTTTTTGTCACTTTTTCTTATGATGAAATGTTTGAATAAGTATTGATGGTACTGTAAAGTAAGATGGAAGAGTCAAACTGAAATAAAAATGAAGCAGTAGTACAAACATGAGCTAGTTCTGTGGTGCAATCTATCTGTTCAGGCATTACAGAAAGTGGAAGTGTTGCTGAAGGCATGCCCCACTTTATAAATATGCTGCAATATGTGTAAAGTATATGGTTTGGCAGAGTGACTTATTGAGTAGAAGATGTTTGGATTTCTGTGATTCAGAATAAGCACAATGAAAGCATGCGAGTAGGCTTCAAAAATACATTAATTCATGGGTAGATCCTGTTGGATAGTGTTCTATGGCATGTGAACAGAAGTAAATATTTCCTGTAAGTTCCAGTCTAAGCCAGGTGAAGTGGGTTTTGCTAAAAAAAAAAAAAAAAGCACAGCTTGCTGTTCAGTATTCATTTACTTTTATGATGTGTGTAGTGTTTTCCAGTTAGTGTTCTTACTTGGATAATGTCCCCTTCATAAGCTCAGTGGCTGGTAGCAATGACAGTAATAGATTTTAAATGCAGTAGTTACAGTTGGTTAATGTTTAACCTTAAGCTAAGCCATAAAATATAGAAATAAGAAGCTGATTCCTTGCATTCCGATTTCAGAGGCTGAATCTTTACAAACAGGGAGAATATGTTTTAGAACACTGGAGAGTCTGATACATACATGTAACAGGATATTTGCTGCTTTTCATATATCTGTCACACTGTTTGGACCCAAGAGGAGGTGGATTACTTGGGGTGGGGGGCAAGTTAACTTTTCCCCCACTACAATTTCTCCAGTTTAAATGTTTCATTGGAAATTGCTGTTTTCCCCTTCTGGGCAAATAGCAGTTGAATGCTGTTTAAATCAGGAAAATGGCACAAGGTAAAATTATTATTTAAGAACAACACTCCCCCCAGCATACCAGTCCCTATCCAAATTATTTCACACCCCTAAGGTAAAGGTACCCCTGCCCGTACGGGCCAGTCTTGACAGACTCTAGGGTTGTGCGCTCATCTCACTCTATAGGCCGCCCGCCAGCATTTTAAGATCGCCCCGGGACAGCGGAGAAGTCTCCGCTGTCCCGGGAAGGCAGGCGGGGGGGAGCAAAGACTTTTGCCCCCCGCCGGCCTTCAGAAGAGGTCCAGGACCTCTTCTGAAGGCCGGCGGTGGGCGAAAGTCTTTGCTCCCGACTGCCAGCATTTTAAAAGAGGTCCCCGGAGATTTCCCTATGGGCTTTCTTCTTGCGAAGCAAGCCCATAGGGAAATTCGTCTTGCGGAACGACTCAAAAACGGAAAACTCTTTCGTCTTGCGAGTTTTTCGTTTTGCGAGGCGTTCGTCTTGCGAGGCACCACTGTAGTGCATAGGATATGGTCTTAGTTGCTAGATAGATGTGGGTGATGTAAACTTGGGAGGAGACGGGTGATCTTAAATAAACCATACACCTACTTTTATATCATCATGACAGCTAAGATTAACTAAGAGCAATGCTTTGGCCATGTCATCTGTGTGCCAAATCCAAACAGATACATAAAGTCATTCTTGCTGACTGCTTCCCATGTCCTTGAGAGGAGATGAACCTTCACCTAGATATCTATCAGAGTAAGCCTGAGCACTTTCAGAACAGCTGTAAAAAGTTCCTCTTCTGGCTGACATTCAGCAGCCAAGGTTAAACTGGTGTCAGATAAATTACCCAAACAAAATAAGTTAACTATTGCTTGCCCTGGTTACCTGCCTCAGGAATTAAACTGATACACATTTTGATATACATAACACAGCACTGAGTGGCAGCCTTTTTTCAGGATGGTTATATATAGCTGTACAGGGACGTGGGTGATGCTGTGGTCTAAACCAGTGTTTCCCAATCTTGGGTCTCCAGCTGTTTTTGGACTACAACTCCCACCATCCCTAGCAAGCAAGACCAGTGGTCAGGGATGACTGATCTAAACTACTGAGCCTCTTGGGCTTGCCAGTTGGAAGGTTGGTGGTTCGAATCCACACAGCGGTGGTGAGTAGCGCTGGGTGATAGCTGGTTTTCAACATTATGGTAATATCTTTTTTTTTTTTTAAGATATTTATTAAATTTTCACAAGTAGAAACAAACTTCACCATACCGAATACAGAAAGAAGAAAAATAAAGAAAAACACCATTCAAAATCAAAAAGAAAAACTCAGTAAGAAAAGAAAGAAAAAAACCCTCTATAACAGTAGAAAAAAATTACCTAAGCCGACATTAAAAAGAAAAAACCAATTTTTCAAATGTTGTACTCATAGCCCTCTTTCCGGACTCCCTCACATCTCCCCTTTCTGCGTTCCTTTTTACAAAATCTTATTCAGCAATACCTCATCTTCTTTCACATCCTACTTCAAACTATACGTTTCCAGTATTATGTCTCCAATTATATCCCATTATTTCCTTTTATTTAAATTTGACATAATATTGTTCTGGCTTCACATTTGTTCTATTAGCCATTTTTGCATATACCTCTCGACTATATCACTAATACCATATTATCTTCATATCCCGCATCATTCTAACATTCATACAATTTACAATGCTTTTGCAAATATTCTTTAAATTTCTTCCAATCCTCTTCCACCAACTCTTCTCCCAGGTCTCGGATTCTGCCAGTCATTTCTGCCAATTCCATGTAGTCTATCAGTTGCATCTGCCATTCTTCTAGGGTGGGCAAATCTTGTGTCTTCCAATGCTTTGCGATAAGTATTCTTATTATGGTAATATCACCAGCTAAATATCATGATATCTTGATATATCATATGTATCTGTGGTGGCAGAGAGCCTTGCTGGGCCTCCCCACAGGGGCAGAAGGTATCACCATACCTCCTTGCAGCAGTGGAGGGTGTGCCACGCTTCCCCACAGCAGCCGAGGATCCCATCGTACCTCCCCATGACATCTGCTTCCCCACTCAAAGGTCTAAGTGGAATCTCTGCATGCATAAGCCCCACTGATTTCAACTAAAGTAGCTTCTACTTGGAGTAAGCCCCATTGAATCCAGTAGGGCTTGCTTGTGAGTAGACACACATTTGCTTTCACTACTTACTGAAAAACACCCTCCCCATCATTCTCATACAGTACCCAATCTCCCATTTCAGCATAAGACAGCCAGCTAAATCTTCTCCCTTCCATTCTCCCCAAAAGCCCTCATCCCACCAGTCTCTCCCTTTTTATCAAAGGGAGGTAGGGAGGGCAAGCAAGCAAAAAGATAGTCTCCTTTAAATTATAAAAAAAAACCACCCTTCCTTTTTAATATGGAGGAAAGCTATTTAGGGAGAACCAACACCACCAGAAAAGAAAGAAAAAAACTGTTCCCCCCCTTTTTTCACTGGTTAGGGAAGGAAGAAAAGTGCTTACCAGTTATTTGTTCACTTTGCCTCTTTGATTGTCTAGCCGTGGGGTGTCCCTCCAGGCTTTGCATAATTAGTTGACCTCTAAGTGGAAAGATACAGGTGAAGCTGGTTTGCAGAGGGCTTTTGGTCCTTATCTGGGGGAGGGAGCGCAAACAAAGCTGAAGACACTTGCAAATTATCTGCAAAGTATTGTTCAGTTACTCTGTTCCAGCTTCTGCCAACCTAGCACTTCAAAAGCACACTAGTGCAAGTAGATAAATAGGTACCGCTGTGGTGCGAAGGTAAACGATGTTTCCGTGTGCATTTGCTTCCATCACGGTGTTCCGTTGCACCAGAAATGGTTTAGTCATGTTGGCCACATGACCCTGAAAGCTGTCGGTGGACAAACGCTGGATTCCTCAGCCTGAAGTAAGATGAGCGCCACACCCCATAGTTGCATTTTACTGGACTTAACCGTCCAGGAGTCCTTTACCTTCTTTTTAAAAAATCTATATAGCTGTACATTAATACTACACAATTGGGATTTTTCTATTGGTGATAGGTGTTATGATCTGAAAATACAAAAATACGCAGCGCAAAACTCATTTTCTTGATCTGAGGTTTACTATTTTCATGATCAATGAGCTTAACGTACTGGATCTTTACTTTTTTTAAAAAAAAACTTTAAAAAACCCCTCATAGCTGTTGTGTGATATCTGAACCATAAATTTCAATCAGCCCTATTATAAAAAATGAATGTTTAACATGGGTGTTCAGAGATCTTATTCTATTAAAGGACTGATGTAGATTTCATTGAAATTGTAGCCGTGAAGATTTCCAACGCATTCCAGAACTTGCCATCAACCCACTGGGGGACCGGATTATCAATGCCTTTTTTCCAGAAGGGTAAGTTGCACAGTGTTTTTTCTTAATAAGTTGCTTGGTGTGAAGTGCTCGTAGGATTAATTTAAGATGTGGATTCTTATATTCTATTCTTGACACCGTAAAACAATCTGCTGGACTTCAGATACAATATTGGGGACTGGAGTGTCAGTTACTAACTATTCAAAGTAAAGCTTTATTAATATTAGGTATTTGTTAGACACTTTAGTTCCGTTTATATTCTGCCACATTTATCAAATGGCACCAAAAATATCTACTTCAGTTCCCAAATCCCCTTCACTAGCTGAGAAGTAAAACCTTGACTACCTTTCAGTTGATGCTCTAAGCAGGGGTCTGAAATTTTTGGCCAGTTGTAATTGCCAGGATCCTTCCCCCTGCTGATTGGGTGGAGGCAAGCACCTCTGCTCAATAATAAAGAAGTTCCATCAACCTTTCTCTCCTACATCAACAAGAGGTAGGGAGAGCACATTTCAAAGAAGCACAGAGCCCCAAGGCTACAACATCAGCCAATTTTTCAGAAGGAAAAACATAGTTAAGTTTGGAGCAGCAAATTGCACTGAGACTTTGAATAGCAGCATATGTCCAAATGCCTGTGTGAACAGGTGAGTGAGTACCTGGTGCCAGAAGCCCAATGCTGTAGGGCCCATTCATGCCTCCAGGGGGAGAGAACTTCTCAGTTGAGGAGCCACAACAGAGAGAATTCTATCCCATGTCAATGTACAACTGCCAACAATAACCAGCAAAAATAGTAAGAAGCATCTCTCCTGCTAATCTAAGGATCTGGGATGGTTGGTAATTGTTGAAGGCTGACTAATTTTTATAGTTTAAGTTATAGTTTTGAGATGGTAGTTCAATAACGTTCAGTTAAACAGCAAAATAAAATAACAGCTGAGAAGAGAGACCGAAACAGTGTACATGGAACAGTTATAGAAAAATAACAGCAAAATATGAAACTGCATTCTCCAAACTCTGGTAAATTTGTTTAGATATTCTTGTTTGAAGTATATTGCTTGATGGATTTGCAAAATGTAATAAATTGTGTGCATCTTCTCTGGTATAGAGAAGACCAGGTGAATTTTCGTGGATTCATGAGGACTTTGGCACACTTCCGACCCATTGAGGATAATGAAAAAAGCAAAGACCAGAATGGGCCAGAACCACTTAATAGTCGGAGCAACAAGTTGTACTGTAAGACATTTTTAATTGGACATCTATTCAGGCTAATTGTACTGCTTTGTATTCTTCTTTGTAATCCTGCAGCTTGGAATCTGTTCCTCTTCTTTTCAACTTAGTTTAAATCTGGAGACAAATCTTATGGAAGCAAGAGTAGAAAGTTATTTAAGTGAAAGTGGATTTTTGTCACTTTTGCTGGCTGTGGCTGATGGGAGTTGTAGCTCAGCCATCCAATTGAATTTCCATTTTCTTTCCTCCTTCTTCACACTCCCAAAATCTACTCTGGATGGTCCCTCATTACCAACCCCAACTGTTTTTGAGGGTGCACAGGAACAGGAAATTCCATTGTGTGCCTGGAAGTCTGTTGTGTGAGTGGTGCTACAGTGTTGGGCACAGCCAGTTATTTCTGTCCTAATGTAAAAAAGCCTATAACCAAGCCCAAGTACATGGTACTGAAATAATTGTATTTGTAAAACACTGTGCACATTGATGGTGCTACTTTAAATGAATCATCAGAATATTTTTATCTTCCATGACCCCACATTTTACTTTATAATATTCTTAGATTTACATAAGATACTCAACAAATCTTAAATTATTGGTAAAACTGTAGAAGCAGGCTGACTTTCCGTGACTCCTGGAAAATATAGGACATTCTATATAAGCATTCTATAAATTACTGTGTGATAGGAAAAAGAAATCTGTTTAATGTGCTTGCATGTATCAGTAACTGGTCAAAGAAAAAGAAAGATCCCAGAATTTAAGCATAAATATTTTTAGTACAGGCACCTCCCCATTCGCACATGATCTGCATGCGTGCGACTGCTGACACACACATGCCTTTTTTGGCGCCCAAAGGGGGTGGATAAGGCTGGAACATACTTGCATGTGTCCCAGAGCAGAACCCCTGCGTAAGCAGGGATTCCTCTGTATATCATTTTTTCCCTTATCCAGAAATTCCCTACCAAAATGTGACAGTTTGTTTACTTTTCTTTTGTATTTTTACTCAGTATTCTGCCATTTATGGCAGTTCCTAAGTAACACTACTGATTCAACTGTCTGTGGCTTTTTAATGTGTTCATGGGAAGGGGTTATTGTTCTTTGCTCTTCTTCATAGAATCATAGAATTGGAGAGTTGTAAGGTACTGCGAGGGTCATATAGTCCAATCCCCTGCAGTGCAGAAATCTTTTGCCCAGTGTGGGGCTCGAACCCATGACCCTGAGATGAAGGGTCTCATGCTGTATGGACTGAGCTATGTAGAAGAGGGTATTATGTTATGTGTTTTGATTTTGTAAACTACCCTGTGAAGGGCAGTATATAAATAAATAACCTTGAATTTAATTATTTCCTTTAGTTGCTTTTCGGCTATATGATCTAGATAAAGATGACAAGATTTCTCGAGAGGAACTGCTTCAGGTAGGTTTAGCTTTTGCAGCCCATAAATTAATGCATTTTTTTTCGGATGACTGTCTTATTTAGCCCTTAAGGTAAAGTCTGGTTGAATGATAATACTAAATTATTATAATATATAGGCATTATATAACAATATAACTATAGTAGCAGCAGAGGTAAGAAAAGACTTTGCGAATCTCTCCCCTCCATTTTAAATCCCCCCACTCACACAGATATTGCTCAATCTTAATCTCCTCTCGTCTGCCTACGCTGTGTGACCCTGTTCCATGCTAGGAACAGGATTGTGTAGCCAGTGCAGGATTAAACCCTGTTCAGTAGTGATGTCAGCTCATGGGCAAATGGGTGTGGTTTCGGAAAAACAGCTTGGTGGCTCAAATTGGCACACAGGCCAAACATTCCTCACCCAATGTATGTCATGAGGTTAAACTCTCCTTGCCACCAGCTATAACAATAAAAAATATACTCTGGTTCAAAACCAGCAGCCGGCCCCAATCCTATAAAGCTGTGCTCTTGGTGGTGGGGAAAGGTATTCTGTGAACCCCAAACACTGCTACAAATGCTGAATCCCAGAACAGCCCAGAAGTAACCTGTGAAGTATCTTGTAGCACTGGAAAAAGTACTTAAAGGTTTGCACACCATGGTATGCCATAGTTACAAACTGTTGGGGCTTATCATGAAGCTCTTCTGGTTGTTCTAGAGAGAACTAGCCCACAAGTACTGGTTTTCACATAAAGCTAAGCTAGTAGTGTGGTTTGTTTGTTTGTTTGTTTGTTTGTTTGTTTGTTTGTTTGACAAACTGAGAAGCAAGGTGGGCATGATTTGAGCATTTCACACCAATGTGCTGTTCATTCAAAGAATGCCATACTTGGTTTGTGTAACAATGGCTTACTGTATTTTATACTTTCTGGATGTCCCATAATCATATTATATAAATAGTTGTGTTCTGTGTTATAAATCAAGCATTGCTAGGGGTTGTTTCTTTTTGCTTTCCAATATCTTATCAATTCTTATCAATAAAAATTTTGGTGTGGCATGAGCAAATTTTTACTCTAAAAGGGTGGCCCAGAGAAAAAAAGCGGAGAACTTTCTGATAATTGTTAACTTGCTGATCTGAGAATTCTTGAGATGAAAGTTGTATTTTTAAGTGGTGCACTAGATGTTATTCAATGAACCTGGACTGATCTCCTTATTTCTAGAAAGTTTCCCTAAACTGCCTCAATGTACTTCATTTGAGGCAGTGCAGTAAATGGTGGTTTGTGCCACAAGTCAAGGTGTATAGTACCTAGCAGCCAAGGACAGCTAAGGTATTTTGGCACCTGAATCAGGAAATGTCCCAAGCACCTCTCCTTGGGAGCAATAATATAATAATTAAGAATTGCTGCTGTTTTGTGATATTTAAAACCAGCTGCCTGATTGGGCTGGTCCTGGAACTTTACTTGGCTGACTTAAAATAGTAGCTTTACTTGTCTGGTGCCTTCTTAGCACATACAGCATATTCTTTGTTAAACACTAGCATTGCATTCTTTTGGGGTTTCTGTATACTGCAGGTTTTGCGGATGATGGTTGGCGTAAACATCTCGGATGAACAGTTGGGCAGCATTGCTGACAGAACAATCCAGGAGGCTGATCAAGATGGTGACAGTGCAATCTCCTTTGCAGAGTTTG